AAAAAAAAATCCAAACTTCAGGAGTTTCTGTTTGAGTACACAGTAAAAAACACCCAATTGTTGCATGTGTTTTTCTTAAAATTCTGGCAAATTCATACATTTTTAGAGAAAACAAAAAGAAAATTGCGACTTTAAATTAGCTAGACTGAAACTTCAAAGCCTCTGATTTTCACCGCAATGTCTGAACTGTCCTGAGCGCGTTTGTGTCTTCTTCTTCAGCCTGCGTGTGAGGCGTCTTCTTCTTCTTCTTGCTTTACGGCAGATCGCAGACTTACAAGTGCATTACCGCCACCTATCTCTCAAATGGACCAGTGACACTCTATCTACAATCTCAATTAGGAGTGTCAATGGTCCATTTGAGAGATAGATTTTAGCAAATGGCTGCAATATAACAAAGAGTGAAAAATATAAGGGGGTCTGAATACTTTCCGTACCCGATATAAATACTGTTCAGTTTCTTGCACAGACCGATCGTTTCGTGTCTTTATACATCAATGTATCGTCACGAGATGCAGGGTTTAATTTGGTTTTGTTTGTGTATGTTTTATGTCTCTCAAAGCCGTGATTCCCATTCACTTCCATTATATGACTGACAGACTGCAACGGTTTGAGTTAAAAATCATCATATGTGTTCTACTGAAGAAACAAAGTCACCTACATCTTGGATGCCCTGGGGGTAAGCAGATAAACATCAAATTTTCATTTTTGGGTGAACTATCCCTTTAAGGGTTAATTGATGGACTGGAGTCGTGTTGATTACTTGTGGATTATTGTGATATTTTATCTGGACTCTCATTCTGACGGCACCCATTCACTGCAGAGGATCCACTGATGAGCAAGTGATACAGTATAATGCTGAATTTCTCCAAATCTGTTCTGATGAAGAAACAAACTCATCTACAGCTTGGATGACCTGGAGGTGAGTACATTTTCAGCCAATTTTATTTTTTGGGTGATTTATTACTTTAAAATGAATTGTGCAATTTAGGATCATGGGATCATAAATGACAAAACTACTACCTTTGCATGTAAGCTTCTCTAACGGCCTTGTGGAAGGGCCCACTAAGAGTGTCTTCTTTCCGCAGTGCCCTTCAAATGTGCAAAAAATGCAATTTGGAAGTTGCCCAGAGACAGAGAGATAAAAAGAGAAGGAAAGAAAGAAGATACCTGAGAAAAACATATAAGATAACCCTAAAGTCAACTTGAAATTCCATTTGCAACCCATATGATAAAAATGTGATAAAAAGTGAAATAAGATATTCTACAGAAAAAATTAGTATATAGTTTATTTTTTATTAGGTTTTCCTATTTAATATATTGTCTTATGAATTTTTATTTTATTCTTTCATTGTTATTTTGATACATCAAGTTAAACTATATTAAAATGAAGAATGCTGTCTTGGCAACTAGTTGAAAAAAATAAGTTAATGTTTATTTTATTTCACAAAAATGTTTTTATTTTTTATGGTTTTAGTTAACTATAATAACCCTGATGTGCACTGATGAATCTTGCACAATAAAAGTAAATAGGGCCAATTTTGATTTCACATTGACATTAAATGAACATGCAAAAACATAAAAAGCAAAGGCATGCATGTAAATGTTGCAAATAAAGTCATAAATATGCACAAAGCGATGAACACTCAAGCCCTCTGTAACACATGAATGATTTCAGCTACTCTGGCTGAATGGCATAACCCCTCTAACCTGGGCAGAGCCGCACTCGTTTAATATGCAGCCTCGTTTCCTCTATATCCTTTTTTTTCTTTCTGAAAACACCCTATAATTCAGCATAATTGCTCTTTGTCATGGGGGGCCCCCATTATGACATTATGAGGCAGGAGCCTGCAGGGTCAGCACGGCCCAAACACCCCCTGAGCTCAGCACTTATGCCTGTGATGTAGGCAACGAATTACAAACAAAGAATCACATCAGTGAGCTCAATGCATCTCCTGTACAGCCACTCACACAAATAGGAGCCTGTCAGGATGAAATGTTAAAATAGGTGATTTCGTCTCCTACAATTTTTCACTCCAATTTGAATCTAAATTCTAATTCATGGCGATTGGCACAAAATAAAACTGTGATGATTGGCTCAACAGTTATAGGCAAACTTTCTTCTGAAATTCCTGGTAATACTTTTTAAGCACTGTCTATTTTCACTAAATGAACATGACAGTTCAAATGTTTGGGGTCGGTAAGATGTTTTTTTTAGCGTTTTGGCAGACCATGGCTGCATTTATTTGATCAAAAATACAGTAAAAACACTATTATTGTGAAATATTACAAATTAAAATATGTATTGAATATAGTGTAAAATGTTATTTATTCCAGTGATGCAAAACTGAATTTTCAGCATCATTACTCCAGTCTTCAATGTCACATGATCCTTCAGAAATCATTCTAATATGCTGATTTGCTGCTCAAGAAACATTTCTTATTATTATCAATGATGAAAACAGTTGCTTATTATATTTGTGGAAACCATGATTTGTTTTTTCAGGATTCTTTCATGAATAGAAAATTCAAAAGAAGAACATTTATATGAAAAAAAATTGTAACAACGTTCAAATCTTTACGTTTTTTTTTAAATAATCAGTTTAATGCATAAAAAAAAAAAAAAACTTACTGAAAATGTGCTTTATGTTTGTAGATAATTCTTGACAAATATCATGAAGTCTCCAGTGCTAATGTGGTATTGATCAATTATTTAACAAAATTGGGTAAAAATGAAGGCAAAAAAGGTTTAAAAAAAGAAAGGTGGAAAAAACTGTTACTGACCCCAACATTTTGAACCGACGGTAATGTACATAAAAAGTTATATGCTATATACACTGAGTGTAAAGAGTGGTAAATACTATTTGCATCAAGATAGAATCTTATTTACACTAAATGCAAATAGTTATAGATGCTATTCATACAAAGTGCAAATAGAAGTCATATTCTATTAGTAACTAAAAGTAAAACATTTGAGCAATGATGGGTGGAGTTAACCTGTGCCAAAAAGGATGTATTACTTATTAGTACACTGCTCCCTGGAATACTTCATTCTGAGTGGTCAGTCGCTGCATTCTGCTATCAAATATTTTACCATAAGAACCATTAAACTATAATTGACTGTTATCCCAGGCAACCAGTTTGCTGTGCTAGTTTTATGTCTCACATCACTCTGAGGTGTCTTTCTTCTCACATAATAAAATAATTACAACTCTAATGTCCATTTACATAAAATACCATACAGTCAGATGGTAATTATCACAAAATAAACACGTTCAGGGTGATATAAGACCCCCTACATGTTGCTTTGCGGTCCTGATCACTCCGTCAGGGTTTATTTCGCAATAATGATAGACTGACTCTACATTAACCCTTGCATAATAACTTTCATTAATACATAATGAACAAACATTACATACTGCTAAACAGATCATCTGCTGATGTACAATACATAAAAATATGTATATATGAATATTTAAGATGCCTAATGATGTTTCTACAGTATCTATATGAATGCTCATTAACTAATGATCCGCTAAGCATTATATAAAGAAATAATGTCAGTTAATGTAAGTCATTAGAACGTGTTATACCAATGAGCTGAAACACAGGTGGTGTGAATGATGCAACATTGCGTCAACTAAGTGAATAAATTAAATTTTACAGATATTTAGAATGTGTCTCACTGTGACGGTTTTAATGCGGCCGCCGCCTTTGGTGCAGGTCCATCCGGAGCGATTGAAGAGAAGTCCGCAGATCTCACCCTCTGAACACGGGGACATCTCACACCACTGCTTACTTTTCACTATCCGGGCTATAAACATACAAACACAGAAGTTTTTTTTTTTTTTTAAACAACTCTGCCTTAACCCTTTGGGTCATTTTAGACTGTAACATGAAATAAATGTTAAATTCAATATTGATGGAGTAACAGTTTAAAAAAAAAAAAAATCAATATGAACTGACATTGCACATCAAACCATAACAATTAATTTTCAACTTATGCACAAATCACAAACAATTGTTTAGGAAAGTGCTGTACTGTTTTTTGCCACCACGCAGTGCATCAAAGAATCATACATATGAGGGGCTACATTTAATAAAATGCATAACATTTTTAGGACAAATTTAATAATTTACATAATTATTTCAACTGCATAACATGCTGAAAGGCCAAAGGTCATAACTGGTTCTTCAAAAAAAAAAAAGGTCATCAAAAATTTAAATGCTCTTTATGTTTGTTTAAATATTCTTGACAATGTCACATAGTCTCCAAAGCTAAAAAAAAAAAACATGGTATTTATATATTCTTTAACAACAACAAAAAAATGGTTAAAATAAGAGGAATAAATTAGAAAAATGACATTGTGTATATACTGTAATGTCTGTCATATTACCCCATTTTTTCTTTTAATGGACTTTTATAGAAGATTTTTGTTACTACAAACCTTTAAGATCCAACAGGCATCACAAAAAAACCACCCAACCTTTATATTCAACATAAAATATGGATTCGTGTATGAAAGTGGATTTGAGATTATGGCAAAGTCATGCATGTTTCAGTAAGCAGCCTGCAGGCCTTGATTCACTGCACACTTCATTATCTTCACGTCGTAGAACTAAAACCATCAAACAACTCAAAGTGAGCTACAGCAGACATGTGTATGCACTGAGGCTTTCTCTTTCAGTTCCCTTGTTTGCTCTGTAGATCCATGTAAAATTCCATAAACCCCTGCTGCTCCTGTGCTTCAGATGCAGATCAACCAGCGTTCAGAGGGTGATGGGAACAAAACAGGTCAATGAGACAATCAGAAGATGGTTGCGTCTTGTCTGCACACCAGGAAAGAATAATGACAAATGAGATCAAATGGAGACCAGATTTTTGCGTCTCAGATGTTTCTACTGAAATAATACCCTCATTTTCTCACAAACATCTAGGGATTCAGAAAAGATTTCAAACTCCTTGACAAAATACCAAGGTCAATATGAACTCAAACATTTCTCATCATATTCTTCCAAATCAGTTATACTATCCATATTCAGTTTATATAATATTCCTATGAATCAACAACAGAATCATTTTCAGGTTCTATTTTCATTTCTCCAAAGGAATGTTATGATAACCTCAACAGAGTTAATACTTAAAGGAATAGTTAATCAAAAAAAGAAAATGTAGTGAAACTGTGCTCACACTCAGGCCATCCCAGATGTAGATGAGTTTATTTCATCATTGGAACAGATTTTGAGTAATTTAGCATTACATCACTTGCTCACCAATGGATCCTCTGCAGTGAATGGGTGCCGTCAGAATGAGAGTCCAAACAACTGATAAACACGTCACAATAATCCACAAGTAATCCACATGACTCCAGTTCATCAATTAACATCTTGTGAAGCGAAAAGCTGCGTGTTTGTGAGAAACAAATCCACCATTAAGATGTTCTTAACTTTAAACCATCGCTTTTGGTCATCCATAATCCATAATAACTCTTTGTTGTTAAAAACATCCTTATGATAGATTTTTTCTTATAAGCATACATCTTTTCACTTCACAAGACATTAATTGATGGGCTGGAGTCATGTCGATTGATGTTTTTATCAGCTGTTTGGACTCTCATTCTGACGGCACCCATTCACTGCAGAGGATCCAATGATGAGCAAGTGATGTAAATGCTAAATTACTAACGTTAAATTTCTCCAAATCTGTTCAGAGGAAGAAACAAACTCATCTACATCTTGGATGGCCTGAGAGCGAGTAAATTTCCAGCAAATGTTCATTTTAGCATGAACTACTCCTTTAATGAAACTGAACATGGATGTGCACAGAATACATTTCCAGGATTTAGATTATCCTTAAATTCTACAAAATCCTCAATTTCATTAATATAGCATCCCTGTGGGGCCTCAGTTCCTTGATTACTCAGTCCATGCAATTTTCTGTGCACAAAAGCTCGGCTTCCTTTTAGAAATTTCACTGTCACCAGACGTTTAAGATATGTTTACAACCATTTTCTTGATCTGAAACACAGCAGGTTTTTCATGGCAGTCCTTATTAATATTGCGTGTGATAACGTTATCAAAGCTCCATCCCTGAATTTATCAAAGTAAAGTGGCGCTGCTGAAATGAAGGATTATGCCTTTAAACTGACGTGGAGCAAAAGCTGTGGACGGCCGAGCCAGCTCTACAGATCTCATCCAAGTCCTCTCGTCCCCGGGGGGCCTAAAACAATCAAATCCATCCCACATCACATAAACAAGCCTCCCTCTGAGGGACAGTATTCAAAAGCACAAATACAACTGGGCCATGAAGAAAGAGTGCTAAAGAAAATCAATGAGCTTAAATGAAGCTGGAATGATTCAGCGAGGTATTTAGCGCGCAGTCGGTCAGGGTGTCTGAGCTGCGATGCCTCATGCTGAGGAATGGCTATATTGAGGTAACGGTTGTGATTACACACTCCAGTTGGAATCTAGTTGAAAGAAGTACTGTGGTGTGTGGACTAGTTTTAACATGTATGAGAAATATCTACTGAAAGCACACATTGCACCAGAACACTAGGCATGATCTCCTCCCAAGTGAGAAACCTTGGCCCAACATGCGAAACATGTTATTGGTCCAGATCCATGTGACAAGTAAAACTTTGAACTACTACTCATACAATTATTAGTACTGACTTCAAATGACACTTTAAGCCAGTGTCATACTAGTTATAAATACTGATAAGGAACTTGTACTCATACTAGCTACACAGACTAGTACTGAGCTGAGCTAGAACACATACTAGAATGACTTTAAACTAACACTATCTTTGATCTAGAACAGATTTTAAATCTGTACTCATTCTGGCCATAATATATAGACTTTAAGACATAATAATATTAAGACTTTGAACTAGTACTACATACTAGATACTAAAATTAGTAGTGTATTTGAACTAGTACTGTTTTTATAGTAACTCAAGTACTATCTTTGCTCTAGAATAGACTTTAAATTAGTACTCATTCTAGCACTAATACTAAGACTTTGAACTAGTACTGGACTTACACATTGCAAGATCTAGCATTAGATCGGGCTCTGCACTAATCCTAGTTCTCATTTTAGTACTAGTCCTGACTTTGAACTAGTACTCACACTAGCTGGATTAGTATGCCTACAAAACTGGTTTTGAAACATCACATATTCTAGTACCAATCCTGATTTTACCTCTCATACTCAGTACTGAATTTGAACTAATACTCATATTAGTACTAGATTTAAACATTGCAAGCTCTGAATTTAAACTAGTACTCATACTAAGGCTAGATCTGGCTGTGCAGTAGTTCTAGTACTAGTCCTGACTTCGCATATTCTATTACTGGTTCTGATTTTGAACTAGTACTCATACTAGCACTAGAAATGACCTTGAAGTAGTACACCTACTAGCCCAAGAACTAACTTACTAGCATAGCACTAAACTAAGTAGTATTTGATCTGACTTTGAACTAGTACACATAAAACAAACAATTTTGAATTATCAAATTTTCTAGTACCTATCCTGACTCTGATTTAATATAAATATTCCAAAATTTTGAAATAAACAGTACGAATTACTGAAATGTATCATATCCCATGTAATCGCTTAATCAGTGTTCCAGCTGCGGAAAGATATTTATTTAAAAAGCTTGTAAACAATGTCACATAATGTTACATTTACTTCAGGAAAGCCATTCAATTATCTTATAGCTTGTTAGTCAGCTAGAAAAACAACCAGTCTAAAGCATTTTGTTAAAAAGATACACTATATTACTAGGGATGGGTACCGAAACCCGGTATTTAATCGGTCCCGGGGCTAAATTATGAAAGACCGGAGTATCGATAAGCTCTGACGTTAACGGTTCTGCTATCGGTACTGGAAAAATTAATAAAACACACATACATTTATTATTGCTATATATACATTATCTTGCAAATTCTATCTCACCAGAGTCGCCAGCTGTTTTTCAAACATTTGTCTATGATGCATTTTTGCTATTCGCAATTCAGAAGTGAGATTGCGCTCACGCGGAGGGGCTTCAGCCATCACCTCGTAATGGGAAGGCTAATTTTTGATAAAATTTTGGATTACTGATTAGAAGGTGCTCCTAAAATTTTTTACGTGCTCCTAAAAAGAAAAGTAAGCGTAGAGCCCTGTGGGTTAAAAGTAGCACAATCTAATAAAACATGCTCCAGGGATAAAGGGTTTTTGAATAGAGAGCATGTTGGAGGATCTTCTCCTAGTATTAAAAACTTGTGTTTCATTCTGGAATGACCTATTCTACAGCGGGTATATAACAATCTGGTCCCATTGGTTGGAAAATTGATAGAAATGCATTTTTCCAACATTGGGGCTAATTTAATGGAGTTTATTCATTGTATATAGATCCTACTCTGTTTGCCATTTGTTATTAACATAGGAACAAATTATTATTCCACAGCGCCCAGGTACCCAACAAAACCAGATATTAAAATTATGATCCTCTAGTTCCAGCAGTTTGTAAAAAATCATTATAAGTGCTGGGTGATCATTTTTAAGGGATAACATTGCTTGAAGAAATGATTTTGAATCTGTAATTAAATGAAAATTTCTCTGTTCCATAGTCTTTATGTAGTCCAAAGCCAAGATGATAGCATTTGCTTCTGCTATAAAAATTGAGCTGTGTTTGGGGATTGATATTAAACATTAAAAATGCATTTTTAATGTTAATACAGAAAATTTTATTTGAGCGTTGATTATTAAATATATTTTAATTTATTAACTGATTACTAAATAAACTCGGTTTTGGTTTCAGTCTTTGGTT